ACATATTGTCCCCAGTCACAGTCAGGATACTTTCTATACATCACACAGTTCATACAGTGTCTTATATTTTGAAAATTGTTAAGAGAGCAGACGGTGGAGTGTTCTCACCACAGAATTCCATTCATTCCACAACAAACACATATTTTAGAACATCTTATTATACTTGGTAAATAATACCCTCTCCCCCCTTTTTTTGATACTAGGGATGGAACTCAGGGGCACTTGACCCACTGAGTCACATCCCCAGCCCTATTTTGTATTTTATTTAGAGACAGGATCTCACTGAGTTCTTAGTGCCTCACAGTGGCTGAGGCTGGCTTTGAACTCGTGATCCTCCTGCCTCAGCCTCCTGAGCCTCTGGGATCACAGGTGTGTGCCATTGTGCCTGGCCCAATTTTTATTTGTCAATCTAAAATGAAATGAAAGAATGCAAGTTAAGTGAAGTAAAACTTGCTTAAAGATATGTACCAAACACATGAATATATAGGACTAAGTTATAACAAATTTATAACAAAACAAAAAACAAACAAACAAAAAAAAACTTGGCTACTAACAATAGAAATAGTTTTCTGTTTCTGTGTTGCATTAGAGTTAATTCCAGGAGCATGAAGGCCTGACATGAACTCTTCTTCTCTCCTTTGAAAAATTGCATTAGAACACAGCTGGATCTGTGTGCTGATGAACTTGGAGCAGGAGTGCAGGGCTTCTAGGACATTACCAAGGACCTGCATCCTGAAAACCTTCCAGCTCCACCGTACTGGAGCATAACTTAGAGCATGACTTTGCCCTATGTATCAAAACAGCATCTCCTAGTCCCAGTGGTGAGGAACAAAATTAGAAGGAACATTTTACATTGTTAAGACACTTTGACCAGCTTTGAGATTTTTGCCTTTAAAATTGATCCAAATACCATGAAATTTATGCTTCTGGGTTGGGAGTCACCTCTTGAACATTTAAAATATATTTCTTCATGTGTGTCAACTATTTTTCAGGAAATAATTGGGTTTTAGCTGTGAGCTGTCTAATAGTTTTCCTTAGAGCCATAGACAACTAAGAGCCTGGGACTAGGGCAAGGATAGAAAAAAACTTCTTAAGCACTATTGAAAAGTATATTACAAAGCACACACTTTCTTTTCCTTGAAAGGAAGAATTCTTATTGAGATTACAGAAGAATTACAAAAATTATCAGAAGGAATAATATTCTTTGAACTGCTGCCACTACTGGAGTTGAATATCTATGAATGGCAGCCTTAATTTTTTAAAATAACTTCATTGAGGTATAATTTACTTAGCATAAAATTCACCTATTTTAAGGTTAGGAATCTGTAATTGCAGTGTTGTACCATAGTTGTAAGCACAAAAGTGACCAGGATAGGTGCAGATCTCACGAATTCCACCAAGCCTTTGCTCAGCAGTGGAGTCAGGCATTGGAGAGCTCACTTTCTGAGTAGAAAATGGCCCGATTACAGGGGAGGTCTGGTTTTATATAGGTTACGCACTGGGAGATGACTTAACCATTGAAGACTTTATCAGAACATATCAATTTGGGCACTCAGGAAACAGTTTGTGAGAATTTGAAGGTTTTTTTTTACTGGGCAAGGAGAGAGGGTCCAGAATCAGCATTCAGTCCTTATCTCTTTCCCTCCAGGGTCTATTGTATTGTCACTGGGAAAGGATGTATTTGGGTAAGGATCAATGCTTTGACTTCTTCCCGGAGACTGTCATTTTAGACTTGATAGATCTCTCCTCCCCAGGGATTGTCTTGTCACTGGGTGATGTTTGTTTCCTTCCCAGGGATTGTCTTGTCACTGGGAAAGGTTGTATTGAGAAAGGATCAAAGTTATCAATGTGCTGCCTTCTTCCTCCCTCCCTCCCTCTTCCTAGGCCACACTGTTTTGGGAGTTATCATTTCCATATCCTTCAATAGTCACAAGAGCTAATTTGACTCTATAGTAATGTTCCATATAGTAATTAATACAGTTAATTTATATATATATATATTTTATTATATCAACAAGAGGATCCCAAACCTGGTCACAATTTTTTTTTAAGTACTGGGGATTAAATTCAGAGTTGCTTTACCATTGAGTTACATCCCCAATCTTATTATTTTATTTTTTTAAAATTTTGAAGTAGAGTATATAAGAAACTGCTTTGTTACCTCCCAAAGTGCTCTAAAATTATAAGGCATTACTTTCATTATTTCAACTCAAGAAAATTTCTATGTTTATGAAAACAATTTGCAAATAGTTCTAAATACCTACTTATACTTGGTGCTATATATTCCAAGTTAAACACTGTGGCTTTCAAATTTAAACCAGCCCTCTTTCCATAGAAATAATGAAAAATTGGGATGAATT